AAAAAACAATTTTGAGTTATACGAAACTCTGCGGTTGGAACTAAACATCAAATAGTGGCTGCATTCTCCACTGTATCAAAGCTAGAGATGTTCCAAAGAAGACGACAAACATCGAAGCCTTATGAAATCAACAACCACACTTTCTGAATACACACCAATGTGAAGGAAATGCAAGAAAAAGAGCTCGCTTGCCCCGTTCATAGCTCGAGACTTCGGCTATGATGCGAAGATGCGATGGTGCGACCAAGCGATTCTATCAAATGAAGTGAGTGCATATCGATTGACTGACTCCGCCTACAGCGTCACATGCGAGACAACGTCTGTGATTCAGCGATCGCGCGAGGCGAAGATGCGATGGGGCGCTGAGGCCGATGTCAGACTTTGCGAATCGCGCGATTCGCTAGCGTCTGCGGTCGCGTCGCGGCCAGTGAATCACTCAATTGGCTGGTACCGCAACGCGACCGCGGACGCTAGCGAATAGCGAATCGCGCGATTCGCAAAGTCTGACATCGGCCTGAGGCGGTAAGCGGAAGTGTCGATAGGGATCCATGGATGAACCGACAGTCTTTATTTTTGTTGTGGCTACTGCCATTATTGCTTTTTTAACATTCATTTATTGATGAATTTCGTTATGTAATCTGTTTTTGATAGTATTCCCAGTTTGCGTTGTTTTCCCTCGTAAATTCTTACGACACTGACAAACTACATAGATTGACGGGTCGCGGTGCGTGCGTCCCTTTTACGAACATGCTACCAATCGCTTCATCGCCTCAAAGACGAAGTCTCAAGCTAAGAAGGCCTAACAGACAATTCATTTCAAAGATGAACGAAACGATGTTAGTTTTTGTTCGCCATCAAGAGGCAGTAACTGGAGCAAGTCAGGCACATAGATTAATTCGATGGAACAACTCATGAAATCCAATCTAGAGATCGGAAGCAATGCAATGTACAGCAGCAGCATGGTAATTCAAATTGCGTCTTCGCCGCCAAGCGTGGTAGATCTGTGTATTCACACAGAGTGCACTGAAGTCTACATCTTTTCCACTTGATACCGTAGGATCTGAAAAATGATTTCAGGCTTTTCCACAAGTCTTCCACTTGTTTTAAACAACTTTTGATGCACGTATTGTATGTTAATGTAGTATAAATTATAGTGAATGGAAAAGGCTTGTCGAAGTAATCACTTTGAATGCAATTCATTTTCTCAGAAGCTTCCTTGATTTCAGTTCTATGATTTCGTCACTTCATTTGAGACATGAGGTCGACATGAAATGCTTGGGTTGTGTTGTTTAGCAACTTTTAAAGCTTCCGATACCTTTTTGTAGTCAGCGGCTCTTTCTAGGATGAAACTGATTTCAATCGTGGTTGATGCAATACGAATTATATGGGCTCTTTTTGATTACTCGAACAAAATCTCCCCGTTTGGCTAAAACAGTAGTATCCCAAAAGCTGAATTACATTATAAGACGACGACTAATTGGGTCCAAGGTTGCTCTCTACTTCATGGAAGGTTCCGATGAATATGTCAGAAACACTTTACATCCACCTATTCATTGGGGGAGCACGATTTCAGAGTTCTATCTCCATATCCTATTTCCCATTAAGAGTCAATCGTTCGTTAAGCAGTTTCCAAGGAGGAGGGGCTCGTATTTGGGAGCGGCGAAGGCTGAAAGGTTGGAAAATAGGTCGTATTTTTGGGAGTCGAAGGGGTCCTGGTCGTGGTAGAGGGTCGTACGTGGGCAAGATATCCAGGAACAATTTTAAAAAGTAAGCATAAAGTAGTTAGAATTAGACCTCGACGGCTGTAAAAAACAGTTGGACGATTTTGGGCTGTGTCAACTGGTCTCAGAATCACAAGGGAAATAGCTTTGATGGTAGGGTGGTGGCAGGGGACAGAGTGAGGAGATGCGTAGGCGGGACTGTTTAGGCTATGTCTGTGGTGGAGACCGCTAAATGGGCGAGGAGGGTCGTGAATCTTAGAGTTAGAGACAACGGAGGTTGAGGTCTGTTCCAACCTCTTCCATGCAAACTTCGGCGTGCGCTCGAAATAGCTGGAGTCGTGGGGGGGGGGGCAAGGCAGAGTCAACCCTGCGTTGCGCAGTTTTCAACGGCCACGTTGCGCAGTTTCGCCCGATTAGACACGTTCTCTCGCGCGAACATTCACACTCGCATGCTCGAGCCGTCTGCGTCTCCGCCCATACAGCGTGCGTTGAGGATCTCTCAACGTGCCGTTGCGAACTGCGCAACGCAGGGTTGACTCTGGGCAGAGGTTTCCAAAGGCTCGCTATGAGACTTTCTTATAAACTCTGAAAGTATCTAATTTTTTTCAATTTTTCGATAATATCTGAATATTCGCAAGAACCTCCTCCACCTTCCATAGAAGTTCACTTGTGGTCTCTAATGGGCGGGCCTACTCACCAGGAGCGCCAAATACGATACGGTTTTTCTGAGGAAAAACGTTGTTACCCTGGCCGGTGAGCAAAGCCCAACTAGAGATGGGTCCCCATCCCCTAGTTGGGCTTTGCGCACCCGGGCCCACAGAGTAACATTCATATTGGACGCTTGTCTGGGACTAAGTTTTCGAGACCGTTGTCTCGTTGCAAAGACTCTTGGCAGTAGTGTCCAGTTGGTGGTATGATATAGGAAAGGTAAAGGTTTACTGGTTATATACAAGTGTTCGAGAGTGATATCGCCAAAGGATTGGTCGAATCCAGCTGTTAGCTGTTCGCGGACGGAGCAGGAAGCTAAGCTGTAATCACTACACATATCTTGCAAAAGACGTTGAATATGAATTTGAACAGCTCCAACGTCCTTCGCATTGTACCCGTGCTATTTTGCCTTCACCTGTTCCAATCGTTTGACATGTTACTTGCATTATTTAGGTATTTGCTGTGATTTACTTGTAAACTTCTCACATACAGTCGATATCCGAAAGTTGGGGTAGGTGTGTCACCGGAAGTGACGTGCACTTGATAGAAGTTGCGTGGATAAGCTGTTGCCAGCATGCTTTGCTGATATCCAGCGATGTATGTTGGAAGCAGCTTATCCACATAGCTTCTATCAAGTGCACGTCACTTCCGGTGACACGCCTACCCCAACTCTCGGATATCGAGTATAGGAGCAGTCGATTGCACAATGAAGAGCGCTGCCCTTTCAAAGTTCAGTTCCGCCAACGGCAATTGCATTCCAGCGTTCTTACGTGTCCATAAGCTCATGAGCTCTGTTATTTTCACTTAATTTTCAGCTTCAGGGCAAAATGGACCAGCTCCTAGATTTGGAAGCATTAAAGCAATTGACCCCTGAAAAGCAGCAACAAGTCATTCAAGCAGTCAAACAACAAGCAGCTATTGCGAACGCACAGAACCTCATCACGGTACTTCTTATTCTTTTTAATTTTTAAAAAAGTACAAGTGAAGTGTTGAAAGTAATTGCAAAATAGTAGCTAATAAGCCACTTGAGCCGAAGAGCGTGACAATATCGTCAATAATTTCTTACAGGATTTGTCAGATAAATGCACTCAGAAGTGCATCACGGCGCCCGGAAGCTCTCTTTCAAACTCTGACAAGCAGTGCTTGCAACGATGTATGGACCGCTTCATGGACTCTTGGAATCTCGTATCTCAAACTCTTCAGAAACGTCTTCAAGACGAATTAGCGTCGAGCGGTGCTTTCCACGGTAGTCCTTCTTTCTCTTAAGCGATGTTTGTATACTATGTATGTTTTCTTTGTCAGCCTTCTAGGCCATAGTTAGGTTCTTCTTTGTTTACACTTTTATTTGATTAAATGCTAATGAATTGTTTTACCTCACCGATGGCGTTAACCAGAGAGATTTCTCATAACACAGGGCCCTCTTGTTTTGGAAAATACCATTCCTCTTTGGGATCTCAGGAAGAGGCGGTCTCCATCTGCATGCATCGGTTCCTTAATCATTCTCGCTGCCCAAAACACAAAGTATTCACGCACAATAAGTCTGCACAGCGATACAAGCAGTAAGGCAAAAGGCGACTCGGGTTCGCCTATTTTATACTAGCTCCATTCTTAATTTTTGATCTGATTTTTGATTTTGTATGTTTTTAACGCCGCAATTTGCGTTGCGATGTTTCACAAGAGTGCTGAGTTATAGACAAAACTTTCGCCCCAGGCGGGACTCGAACTCGCACCTTTGATCTGTTTTTTCATTTTATTGTACTTTTTTGCATTTCATTTACTTTAATTTTTTATACCCTAGTCTCCGTTATTAACTAGTGCTTTTCTCGCCCAAGCCTCCAGGCCTCTCACTCAGATTTCTGCCTTGAATTCCTGTTAAGTAGTGCACTTCCGGTCACAAGGGAGAGCCAGTTTTGCTGCTTTTTTTCAAAAGACTAAAGCCGCTCATATACTTGGCAAGCTGCTGTTTTCTTACGTCTTCACTCTTTCTTTCCTCACCAGTTTTCCTTCTTCAACTAACCCCACTCCTACTGTTTTATAATAATTCCTTATATGTGGGAAGTGGTGTAGTGGCAAGTGGCACGCTTACCACGCGAGCGGTCCGGGGATCAAATCCTGGGTCGTGAGTCGCCCGGGCCAACCAAGCCTTCCATCCCTCCGGGGTCGGTTAATTGGTACCAGACTTGTCTGGGAGGAAAAACACTGACTTGTACATCGGCTGGCCCCCGCAAGTCATTGTATAGGCCACATCGCATTCAAACGCCACTACGAATGTACAAATGGAAGTAGAATGCGTGCCGCATCCCAAAAAGGGATTGATCAACGGCAAATGCTTTATCCTTTATCCTTTATGTGGTGACCGAGTATGGAACAATTGTGAACCATATAGAAGCGCTTTTGGCTACCCTAGTAAACGAGTAGCAAGACTCAAACTGAAATCGCATAGCGTGTGGAAAAGAACAGTACTATGAAAAAGAACAGAACAATGCATAGTTTATCAAAGCGGCGAAATACGAGTATTTTACACAAGGAAATGTTTAATACAGCAAATAACCCTAAGAGTTCCGATGAAAGTCGCGTTGTTTCGGCAGAAAGAGCGCCACAAGAATATACAGTGATGGTGGATGAGAACGATAGAAATGCTTGCAAATACAGGAAAATTCAAAATGCGTGTTAATATTATACTGCTCAAATAAACAGTATGAAAGTTTTCATTCAACCCGTAAAGAAGCTTCGATCCAACTAGGAGCAATTACTCATAAATACAAAAGTAACGTTAGTTAAATAAAGATGACATCAATTATACACTAATAAGCTACACTTCCCACGTTATACCGTCGAGTGTGAACTCTGAATCCCAGCATCATGAATCACCCTGGGGGCCCGTGTCGTCGTCCTGAGAAATCTGTTGACGCAACGTTATAACAAATTGGAATAGTGTTCTTGCATTTGACCACCTACCGTGTTTGGTTTTAGGGAGGCAGTTGAATCAGTAAGGTCTTCAGCGCCGTCCCATAGCAAGCGGAACTGTCCTCTCATAAAAGCCATTATACAAATCGGGAGAAGTGTACATGGCACCAAATATATTAGAGCTGGTTGGGCCATGTTCATAAGAGCAAGAGCGAAGAAAGTCAGAATGAGGCCTAGCCCATATCCTGTAATTACAGTAGAATTGAAGAAATGAATAGCCTGAAAAAATAAAAATAAAAAACTGTATACAGACCGATCGAACACAGGATCCCATAAGAGATGCGCACGCGTTCTTCGAAACCGTTCATGGTGAAGCAGTGAGTGACCAGATAGCCTGAACATAAATAACGCTGCCTCTTCCTGATCCTATGGTATCAACATATTCTTTTGATCAATTTTATAGAAGCAGCCGCGGGGTTCGAAAACGAACCACATTTTGCTGTGTTGTGCAGAGCATGATTCGAATCCGAACTATGCCTAGTTAACAGAAGAGGATTTTTGAGAAATCTGGCTCGTCTTTTAGAGCTCCAAGAGTTTGTCTGGAACTGAGTTGTGTATCTTATGGAAGAGGTCACACTTGTACAATCATCGTTCCAGTAGAATTCCTCCGAAGGATTGATTGAGTTTTCAAAGTGTAGATTTCGACTTCATGGTTCAAAAGTGGTGCTCCAATCGAATCGCTTCCAATATAAAACGAAGTCATCGTAGATTTATACATTACCTTACAAATTACTAATCCTTCATAAGTGCTCAATAGATATCTTGCTGAATTCACTGCTAGAGTTTCCTTTTTTTCCTTTTGTCTACTTTTCGCGCGCATTTCTTGGAGAATTGTGCTTTTCGAATATTCTTTTCAACCTTGGCAAACTATTACTATGAGAATTGAGGCAATTTTTGCGATTAACTGAGCACAGTCCAGAATTAAAATCTTTCTAAATTTTGGCCGCTAGTATGCAGTAGAATGTTGTGACAACAGAGCTCACATAACGAACAGCATACCATCTTCGAAGAAACAAAAGTTGACACTGGTGCATTCGTCGCGCAGATTTATCTTACAACGTAAATGTTCATTACCTACCTGGTATAATAATGTCACCTAGACCAAGAATTGTCATCTGAAAGCCCTTCTCAATGTCCAAATCGATACATGACGACATTGGGTCGAAGTGTGGCACTTGCATTAACATGGGGAACTGAAAATTATGTGAATAATTGAGATTGTTCCTGTGACAATAAACGCTGCTCACTTTTTCCGGTAATGCCGCATCTATGGGAGGCATAGGATACCCATCAGTACCGCTGCTTGAGCAATCAATACCTGTTGCTACTTCCAACATTACGGAGCAACCATTACGTGTGAGGAATGGGGTTACAAATACCATCACCGCGTCATAAATGAACATACATAACATCAGCGCTGAGATCCACTAAACAAACGAAACATTCAAAATTGACAGAGAAAAAGATGAATGCCTTCTGCTCTTACAGAGAGTTGGAACTGTTTTACCTTAACGCTGGGCAATCGTAGCGACTTTAAAATGTGAAGACAAAGTGTGACATTGATGAAATCCAAGAGGATGAATGCGTAGGGTGTACGGCGATAAATGAACCATATGACACAAATACCAAGTGAAAACGTGTACACGATCAATTGAATCAAATTTGGTCTTCCATCAGGAATCCAACCTGCAAATTCAAGGCTTTTCACTGCTAGTACTGCGCATTTACAGTCCTCTTAAAGTATCGAATGGAATGATTGATTGAAATTAAGCACGCAAATAGGTAATCAACAAAAGTGTTTCAAAAAGTTAATGCGTTAGTGAAGCATGCCCGACACGGGCGAAGTGGGATTAGCCATGTCTAGTCTGATAAAAACAATACCGGTTGCAAAGAAGGGAGCGATAACCTAAATTAAATCTCCCTCTTCAAAAATGAACACCGAGAGTGAAGTTTCTGCAAAAACATAGTGATGGTCATTCAATACTTTTTGGGATGCGCCACGCACTCCCATCGTGTCATATTGAATATGACTTGGCTTACACAATGACTTGAACAAGTAATCCCCTACACAAGTCAGTCTTTTTACCCTCCAAAACGATGGCACCAATTAATTGAACTTGTACCCGGGTGAACGGAACACTTGGGTAGAATGGTGTTGATCTAATATTTGTACCAGACCGTAAGCATGGTATCTAACGCCAATGGCCCCTACAGCACTTCAGCCCTATAGTAAAAGAGCCATAGCGAAAATTAAAATGTAACTATAACTCACGATGCTGAACCCAAGTGCACAGTTTTGTAGAACAGCACTCGCAAAATGATATATTTGAAAGCACCGCCATTATGCATGCATAGACGCTTATCGATCCAAACAACACCAGCATCACATTGAAAAAAGTCACTGAAATTAATGTCTCGACGATATTCAAAGAAACTTTCTAAGAAGAACCGCAGTACCTAAAACAGGGCGAAAAAAGAATCCAATCATGAGAATTCCGACGAGAATAACCATTAACACGATAATGGCAAGGAAATTTGAGTGTTTAGCAAGGCATCTACAACGACTTTCGAAGGAACCACTCGAATCCGACTGGGATGAGTAGGTTGCGTTTGAAGTAGTATTAACATGCAACTTGTCCTTGCCAGCTCTGAAATCACCGTCAACTTGTCTTGATCCGCTTTTTCTTGTTAGTTAAATAGATATGCCGGTCTACCTGTGACGAAAGAATGCCCAAACTCCTCCTCCTAGTACGCATCCGACAGCAAGAAGCCATACTATCACCATTGAAAGGTCTATTGGCCCCTCTGACGGCCTATGGAACCTCAGCTGCAGCCGCGAAATATTCCGATCTTTAGCAAGGCCCTATAGTAAAGCTTAACGTGAATGACGGGAAACGTAATGGTTAGAACATCAACTTTATGTGAGAGGCAAACAAACCAAAATATCTTCTTGAAAGACATGGGAATAGAGAAAGAATGTTGGAATGGCAGCAGTCGCATTGATGTAAGGATCGTGAAAGTCAGAAAACTAAAACATTTCCAATAAGATAGCAACTGGGACTGGAATCTAGGGTGAATAACAAACCAAATAATCATGCCAACGTGCTACGAATGAACGTCCTTTATCGAGTAAGAGGATGGCACTTTCTGCTCCATACCTTTTCAGTTGGTCCACCTGAAGTAACTGTTCATGTCTCGATACATCATTTATTCAAATGCACTTCCCACGACGATAGGACATGGCTATTGGTCTTCACATAAAAATGTAGATATTATGTGAATAGTGAAAAAAAGCAAACGAACCAGCTGGAACATTAAAAATAAGGCTTCTTGTGGATGGTTTTAGGAGCTATACGAGCATGGGTTAAAGCACCAAAGCAATTTTGTTGGCAAAGGGATGAATTAAATGTTATAAACACAAAGAGGCACCAAAATTTATTTCAAAAGAGTCCCAAAAGTTCACAAAGTATTCGAAAAACTTTTAAAGTTTATCCAATTCGTTAGTCAGCACAGTCGGTCGTCTGTCGTTACGATCGTTTCGATCGACCGATCTGTAAGCCCCACCTACTTCGACTAGTTTCTATAGGCTTTGAAAGGTAAGTTTTTTGTTGAGTAACTTTTCAGATGTTCTTGATAAGGCTACTGCAACTTCCAACCCCATTATTATCGAAAGTAAATACCCTGCTGGGACTGTTACTTTAAGTCGAAACGACGGGATGCAGCATGCACGTCTACAGGACTCTTTTGAACGTCATAGAAACACGCTACATTGTCTACAACACCGAGTTCGTTTACACTATTAAAGACGCCAACTTTCGAAGGCATAGAAGGTTTCTGAAAATTAGCCCTAAAAGTTTAAATTTTCACTTACTTCAAACTGACTAGCATTTCGAAAATCTCCGTCTTTCTTGAACTGCCCCGTGCATTCAGTACCGTCATAATCAACACGGTAAAGAATGGGAACAGCAGTTCCATTATACCGTATCAGTTGTTCGCGGCCAGACGGCAATGGGCAGATCCTTGTTTCATTGTATCGATTCCGCCAGAATGAAAGACCGAGAGGTTTCTGAAAAAAAAACTGTTACCTCACTCACAATAATTCCAGTCTCTTGTTTGGTTTCTCTTTTCCCCCTCCTCAGAATAAAAGTACAAATTTCTTTTTCCCACTGGTTTGAATCTTCTAAGCGAACATCTATCATCTCATGGATTCTGTTGTGATGGCCTGTTTCCGGGGGGGGGGGGGGGGGGAAGAGGAAACGCTCATTCGACGAAATAACAAGGAATTTCTCTACTGTGTGATCCTACTATATATAATCGGCTAAGCGGTGTGTGTGTGTGTGTGTGTGTTTGACCGGAAATTCATAGCTCGAGTCACAGCAACGATAGCGCAGTGGTTCTTACATATGTTATAGGGGGTGGGATGGGGACACAAGTGGTATGTGATAGGAACTGATAACGACTGATAATAGCTGATAAGAGGGGCTAGAAAGCGAGCATCGCCAATTTCGTTTTGTCGTTCATATTGGTACTAGAGCGTCTATACTTACAAGTGTTATGTGGGGTGGTCCCGGGACATTGGTGGTACATGAATGAAAGCGATAGCAACTGATAAGGGCTGATAAGGCGCGTCAGAACGCAAAAGTCGTCGATTCCGTTACCTGGCTCGCGTTGACACCAGAGCAACCATACTTACAAGTGTTATGTGGGGTGGGACGGGACATTGTTGGTGGGTGATTGAAAGTGATAACAACTGATAAGGGCTGATAAGGCGCGTCAGAACGCAAAAGTCGTCGATTCCGTTACCTGGCTCGCGTTGACACCAGAGCAACCATACTTACAAGTGTTATGTGGGGTGGGACGGGACATTGTTGGTGGGTGATTGAAAGTGATAACAATTGATAAGGGCTGATAAGGCGCGTCAGAACGCAAAAGTCGTCGATTCCGTTATCCAGCTCGCGTTGACACCAGAGCAACCATAATTACAAGGGTTATGTGGGGTGGGACGGGACATTGTTGGTGGGTGATTGAAAGTGATAACAATTGATA